TATTGTGTGTCAACCCGGTATCTATCTGCAACCACAAAGGCTCAAAAAAACAAAAAACAAAAAATCTAAAGAAATTTGGAAAAGGGCCAAATATCTGTGTAGGAAGATATACCTATGTAGGAAGAATAGTAACTATTTTATAATTAAATCCCACTATATGCTTTTCATATTAGTATATAAGCTATTTTTAAATAAAATTTAAACTAACACACTTTTACTTATACTAATTGCTATTTTTTTTACCTTGCCTCTGTTGATCTCTCCTAATTTCTTAGTGGAAAACTAGGAAATGACAGCAACTGCATATGCTAATTGCCATTATCAGCCTTGAATCCATCTTAATCATACCCATTGCTCATAACTTTATGAATTTATTTTCCTTTTACAACTTGATAGATTCTTTAATATCACTGGAGAATATAGTGATGCTTATATCTAAAGAACAATTACATAGTTCAATGCATACATTTATGATGTATTTTTTTCTTGTTTTACCTATGTTGTTGCTTTGTTCTAATTGTTTGAATTGTTTTTTGATTGTCAGCTGACTGAACTAAAATTAACACGAAAGGAGGAAGGTAAGCTTTGTGTCATGTGTGTATTGTTAAACTTACAAACATATGGAGTAAACTGGAAATATAACAAAAGTTTTTTATAAATAATATTCTTTAACAATTTAAAACTATTTTACAATTCTCTTATAATTTGCTAGCTCACCCACAAGATGCTCGGTCAACGCCATTTCTTGCTGGGACTTAATCAACGCCATTTATATTATTTATATAACTCACGCTTTCTGCTTTCTTTGCAATCCCTGCTTTAGCTTCTTTTGTAACATGCAGGCATCAAATTTGTAACGTGCAGACTTCAAATCTCTGAAATGGCTGATTCGAATAGGTAAATATTTTCCTACTTTTTAAAAAGCTGTTTTGTTTCCCTGATTTTTATTTTAAATTATCTTTTCCATTTCCGCTATAGTAATTTTATATTAAACTTTGATGTAAGGAAAGCTTGGCATTGATTGAAGAGGGCAATGATGCTGATGCAGAAAGCGATGAATTGGAAGTTGAAGAAGGACCTGCTTTTAAAAAGCCTAGGAAAAGGCAAGCGCGTTGCTGGAAACATTTCACGATAATAGGATAAAAAGGGCATGAAAAGGAAAGATAGAGTACAAGATGGACAGTAAGACTTGCGGTACGTCTACTTTAAACTGTCACATTGACAAATGCACACAAATTAAACATGAAGATCTTGACCAAGTCATGTTAGACACGCAAGGTAAAATGAAGGCTATAAAAATAGATATCAAGGTAGCACGTGAGACGTATGCTGAAGCTGTTATTGAACATGACCATTCCTTTAACTTTGCTGGCGTTTTCATAATTACTTGAATCCAGATTGGACTGACATTTCTAGAAATACTCTTAAATAAGATGTTTTAAATGTGCACATGAGAGACAAGATGAAGCTGAAAAAGATGTTTGGTAGCATTCAAAGTAGGATATGCATAACTTTAGATTTGTGGACATCTTGTAATGATGAGGGTTATGTTTGCTTAACTAACTGCCCATTTCATTGATGTAAATTGGAAGCTGAATAGTAAAATTATTTCCTTCCTTCATATGCCTCCTCCTCACACTGGATTTGAATTGACTCATAAAATACTTGGTTTGTTAAAGGAATGGGGCATGCAGAAGAAGATCTTTACCATTACTTTGGATAATGCATCTGCAAATGACTCTATGGTTGGTGCTTTAAGAAGCCAATTGAATATGCAAAAATTATTGTTATGAGATGAGAACTTTTTAATGTGCGTTGTTCTGCACACATATTGAATTTGATTGTTTAAGATGGATTAAAAGTTGCAAATGGTGGCTTGTCTCGGATTAGAGAGAGTGTTAAATATATAAAAGGCTCATAATCAAGAATGATCAAATTTAAGGAGTGCATTGAACAAGTTGGTGGTGGGAACGCTACAACTACATTGATAGCAGATGTACCCACTAGATGGAATTCCACATATGAAATGCTTGATCGTACTCTCAAATTCAGGCGTGAATTAGCAATTCTCCAATTGAGTGATAGAAATTACAAGTATTGTCCTTCAGAAGAAGAGTGGAATAAGTTGGAAATTCTTTGTCGATTCTTGCAACCATTTTTTGATATCACTAATTTGATGTCTAACACTTCTTATCCTACTTCTAACTTGTATTTTCTATAAGTTTGGAAAATTCAAGGTGTTCTCATTCGTATGAGTAATGATGAAGATGTGGTTGTAAGTAGCATAGCTGATAAGATGATGGATAAGTTTCAAAAATATTGGGAAGAGTATAGTGATGTGCTTTCACTAGGAGCTGTTCTTGATCCTCGTATTAAGTTTACTACATTGTCTTTTTGTCATAGAAAGATTGATGCTTACACACATGATCAAAAGATGGAAAATGTAAAGGCAAACGTGTATAAGCTCTTTGAGAATTATGTAAACATTAATTCATCAACTACCATTGATCAAAGTCAAGATAACACTAACTCTTCAAGTCAAGGATCAATGGAAACGAGAGGATGGAATGATGAGATCTTTGATGTCAGTTTATGTTTAGCAAAAAGCTTTAATTATCTTATATCATATTCATTTTCACGCCTTTAAGCATGTACTTACTGCACTTACTTACTTCAATTATCATGTTTTTTCACTTCTCAAATATAATAGGAATCGAGATTGCACAATCAACACCTTGTAATAAATGCTGGAAAATCTGAACTAGATATTTATTTAGAGGAGCCTATATTGGTTATTGACAACTGGAATAGTTTAGATACATTGCAATGGTGGAAGGATAATAGTTTTCGTTTTTCGGATCTATCATTAATGGCTCGTGACTTGTTAAGCATTCCTATTACCACTGTGGCATCTGAATATGCTTTTAGCATTGGATCACGTGTGCTTAACAAATATAGAAATAATTTGTTGTCAAAGAATGTTGAAGCTTTGGTATGTACGCACAATTGGTTGGCTGGTTTTGTTGCCAATGGTAATTTATTTATTTTCAATGCAATTAAAATTTCATTTTCATTTGTCATTGTAACCTTATTTGATTATTTACATTTTTTGGTTTGTGTTTTGTAGATGATGATGATGACAATGATGGTATTTTCCATATATTAGGTTGCTCTTCTTCGCGGGGATCTAATGGTCAAGAAACTTTGTAGATGATCTAATGATGATTGTGTACTTTTTGATGTTTAGATTTTGATATTGTACTGTATTGGCCATGGGAACTCATAGGACAATTTGTATTTTGTAATGTGTTTGTCTACTGCTATGTTGGGATCTCTTCATTTATTGGTTGTGTTTTATTAGTTACTGTATTTACACCATTATTCATTAGGCAATAGCTTTGGCAGTGTTGATAATATTGTGCAGTGTTGAAGAACAAATAAGACTAGCTCTACAACAATCAATTTTTTTGAGCCAACCCGCGAGCCAATCCATTGGCAATATTTCGAGCCAACCAACCTGCGAGCCAACTCGCTAGCATTATTTCGAGCTAACCCGCGAGCTTTTTTTGAGCAAACCCGCGAGCCAACCATAACCCAGCTCGGGTCGGGCTGGGTTGGATTTTCTAGCTCGTTTCTCTTTTCGGGTTAACCCTAACCCGACCTGTTTTTTCGGATTGAATGCGGGTTAGGCCGGGTAGAGCCGAGTTGACCCGTTTTACCAATCCTAACCACGTGGTTTATAAAAGAAGGGGACCCGCCACTTGTGAAGGTGGGTTACAAGGAATTTGATGTGTGGCAAGTATGCATAGGGCACACTGAATCATGTGACGGGTCATTGACCCACTTTATTGGATGGCATATCAAAGACAAACCTTGCATCATGGCAAGTCCTATGGACCACATGACCACATGTCACCCTGGACCCACCTCTGCTTAGAGCGGGGTCCTAACAACTTGACATATTATAAAATAAATTTTTTGGCATGGCATTTCGGTATAAAGTCACGAAAATGTTAATATTATATTTGAATTATGTTTTCAAAAATAATTTTTTAATTTTTCAGAAAAAAATAATTTTTTTTTGATAAAGCCTGTTTTGTAAAAATAATTCTAGAAATTATAATTAATTTTAAATTTTTAGAATTACATTAAGAGAACATGTTTAAGTTATTTTTATTTTGTGTTTTGATTTTTAATTTCAAAACACACAAAATAGAAAAAATATTTACTTCATTAATTATTTTATAAAATATTTTTAAGAAAATATAGAACACGATTAAGACTAATGTGGTCAATGTTCCGGTTTTGTGGCGGAGATCCCGAGAAGAAACACTCTAGGTTGTCACATCACATAAGTCAGAATGATGTGGAAGCTAATACACTTGTCATGATTTGAGTTACACTGGAGACTATGTACTACTCTAGGACATTCTCCACGACTCCACCCGTGAATATAATTTATTTTACAAATATATATATCTTGATCAATGACCCACCACTCTACTTTTTAATTAGTATTTTAATCACTACGCTTTAAAAATTAAACTAAATCTTTCTTGCAATCGTAAAGGTGAGTAGAATAGAATTGAATGATACAAAATAGAAAAAGATTATTATATTATTGTTTAAATATTTTATGATAAACAAAAATTCATTTTATTATTTAAAAAAAGAATTATAACTTCGTTATTATTATATAAAATATTTTTATTCTATACCCCAAATTAAGAGAAAAAAGTTAAAAATATTAAATTCTTCTTTAAATAATGAAAATTCATATAATATAATTCCATTCTATTATATTCTACCTCATATTATATGATTAAAAGATGGAAAAAAAATGTGTATTATTTTGAACATGAAAAATTATATCAAGTAAAAAAAAGAAATAAATAAAAAAAAATAGATAAAATTAAAAAATTAAAGTATATATCTCACTTCTTTAAGAGTAAAATGAGAAAAATGATGTAATTTGAAATTACAACATTTTTTCCTTAAAAGATACGATAATGTTTTTCTTCTCAATCTGACAAACTTGTCACGAGCACCACTGGAACTGGGTCCGTTACCATGAACCACAGCTTCAAGAGAATGCTTTGGACTCGTTCTCTAAGGAATTTAAGGTCAACTTGCATATACTCAGCTCATAATTCACGGAAAATTTGTAACTTTTCCCGTAATCCTGATGCGGGATCATGGGAATCAATGGAGGGTCTACTTCGTTGCTCTGCAAATTTCGTTCCATTGTCTCCTGTCAGCTTCCTAGACAGAGCAGCAAAGGTTTGCAGAGATAGAACATCGCTTGTGTATGGTTCTTTGAAGTATAACTGGGGTGAAACCCATCAACGGTGTCTTAAACTTGCTTCTGCTCTGACCCAAATGGGAATTTCCCGTGGGGATGTGGTAAGTTCTGTCAATTTTTGACGCCTATCTTTGTTATGATTTTACTTTGATATCGTTTCAGAATTTTTGCATCTTCCTAACCTCAATAAAACAGTGAATTTTTCAGTATCATAAGCCCGAGCACGATAAAGTTACTCATTTGTGACCAAAAAGTTATGGATTTGAATTCGGGTTTAACGGATAATGGATTCACTCTCCTTTTGTGATTGAAATATCATGGGTTCGAATCCAAGTTTAATGAGGAGTGCTTTAGAAACCTTTTTGATCCATGCGCCATGATTAGGATTATGGATAGTCTTGATAAATCATAATTGATGCACTTTCTTCATCCTATGCCCTGTTTTGGGATGATCCTTGTTAGATTGGAAATTGGAATAGATGAATTAGTTGAATATGTAGTTGGTGGTGATGGGTTTAGCTAGTGTTGCAAAATTTTAAAAAGTGGCTACGATGGAAATTTGGAAGAGTGTTTGATAGCTCACAGTTCTGTAAACTTAAAATGAGTGTTCTAGTTGATGAATGGAAAGGAGGATACCACTAAAGTGTTGTTAGCTAGCGACTTAGGAGGATTCCAGAAAATGGCAGCTCATGGTGTTAGTTCGGAAAGAATTCAGGATTTTTTGGATTTAAATGATCTTGTAATTGTGAAACTATTGTTGTAAATACAAACTATTTGAGGGAGATAAAATATATCAAATGAGGTGTCATTGCGTAGATCTCGAAAAGTTATGTGAAATAAAAAAAAAATATTTGATTTGGATACTCAAGTCAAAAGTTATGATCTTCCAAAGTTTGACGGTAACAAGACTGCTTACGTGGCGCAGACATGTCACGAGTCCCGTCATTATCATTGATGGGAATACCAGTGACGTGTTTGACTACATTAGTTTGGAACAACTTATCCAATACTCTTTTAACTGGACAATTCTTTTGCTCAAAATTGTTAGGATAGTGCTTTAGCCTCATTGCCTGTTAGGCTGAGTTGCAGCCTCAACAATCTTGACACTTTCCTTATTTCTAGCATTTTTGTTGAATTTACTATCTCTAGCATTTTTCTTCATGTTTTCTTATTACTAACCATAGCTTTTAGATATCACCGCATTATGAATCTTGTAACACCCCAAGGTAAATGAATCACTGATGCTATTCCATGTCGTTTCTTAACAGGTTGCTACCCTATCACCTAATGTCCCTGCAATGTACGAGCTGCATTTTGCTGTCCCAATGGCTGGAGCCATTATTTGTACCCTTAATTCACGCCTAGATGCAGCTATGGTTTCAGTCCTATTAGAGCATTCACAAGCTAAGGTCCTTTTTGTAGACTACCAACTACTTGAAATTGCTCGGGAAGCATTTGACCTGCTCGGCAAAAGAGAAAGAGAATTGCCAATTTTAGTTTTAGTTACTGACTCTGATTGCTCCTCTACCATTGACATTACTTCAGTTAGTTATGAGTACGAGAGGCTACTAGCTGTTGGAGATAATGGTTTTGATATAGTGAGACCAAATAGTGAATGGGATCCTATAAGTATAAATTACACCTCTGGCACAACATCTAGGCCTAAAGGAGTTGTTTATAGCCACAGGGGAGCTTATCTGAACTCTCTAGCAACTGTTCTACTCTTTCGAATGGACCTTTTTCCCGTTTATCTTTGGACTGTTCCAATGTTCCATTGCAATGGGTGGTGTCTCCCTTGGGGAGTGGCAGCACAGTTTGGGATCAATGTTTGTCTAAGGAAAGTCTCTCCAAAGAACATATTTGACAATGTAACACACCATAAGGTGACACACATGGGAGGAGCTCCTACAGTGCTAAACATGATTGTGAACTCTGCATTGACCGATAGAAAGCCACTCAATCACAAGGTGGTAGTAATGGCAGGAGGTTCCCCTCCACCTCCACAGATCCTTTCCAAGATGGAGGAGATTGGTTTCACCATTTCTCACCTTTATGGCCTCACAGAAACATATGGTCCTGGCACTTTCTGTGCATGGAGACCTGAGTGGGACTTGTTACCTCATGAAGAAATATCAAAGATGAAAGCAAGGCAAGGGGTTCCCCATGTGGGTTTGGAGGAAATTGATGTCAAAGATTCTGGCACAATGGAAAGTGTTCCAGATGATGGAAAAACAGTGGGTGAGGTAATGGTTAGAGGGAATACAGTGATGAGTGGATATCTTAGAGATTTGAAAGCAACAAAGGAAGCTTTCACAGATGGGTGGTTTCATAGTGGGGATCTAGCTGTGAAACACTCTGATGGTTACATAGAAATCAAGGACAGATCAAAGGACATAATAATATCTGGGGGAGAGAATATTAGCTCAGTTGAAGTAGAAACAGTTTTGTATAGCCATCCAGCAGTTCTTGAAGCTGCAGTTGTTGCTCGGCCTGATGATCATTGGGGCCAAACTCCTTGTGCGTTTCTTGAGTTGAAAGAAGGGTATGATGCAGATGCTCAAGAAATAATCAACTTCTGCAGGGATCATTTGCCCCATTACATGGCTCCTAAAACAGTTATTTTTCAACATATACCAAAAACTTCAACAGGGAAGATACAGAAGTATATTCTGAGGGATAAAGCCAAGGCCTTGGGCAGCATTTCTGGACCCAAGAATGTAACAAATCGTATCTGATTGCTCAAGTTAGTGAAAAGAATAATAAATAGGAAAGGTGTTCTACATCAAATCCCATCTTTATTATGATAAATGTAGCAAAGTGATAAATGGAACTTTCACATGAATCCCAATTTACACCAACAACATGACGCTTTGCATAAACTTAAAATTTGCTAGGACATCATAATCTTATGAGATGTTCTTTGTAGTTCAAATTGTGGGGAGAGCTGGATACTGCTCAATATCAAGACGTATAACAAAAGGGTAATAAATGGAGCCGCAATATATATGTTTACCTATTTTAATCGCACTAGTCAATGATAACTCGGGATCATAGTAGTGTGCAGTTGGTTTTCCTTCCAAATCGACGGCTATAACTCCTCCCTTTTTAGACAAAAGTACATTCCCTACATACTTTGTAACAATTGCTAAAGCCTTCCGAATGAAAGGGTATCTAAATATGAAATCCAATTGAGGGGTAAAGGCCTGCCAGCAATGTACAAAAACAACATTACTGAGTAAACAAGACAGAAAGATCCTGAACTTTCCTTTATCTTTTGGAGAATGATAGTTTAGTGTCATTTTACATATCATATTCCCTAAGCCCTTGGATTTTTATTTAGTTTTTCCAAAATAGAATTTTGTTTCCCATTTGGTTACAAAATTGAATGTTGGACTACTAATTGATGTTAAGGTAAATAATGAAGTTGAGCGCTACGTTACCCTGAATATTCCAATCCAATACTGCCCTTGTCCATCATAATGAATGTTATCAGGCATGCCAGGTATGTCACAAAATAAGTCTATGCTTCCTTTTTTAGGGCCCTGTATGTAATATTTCTTGCACTTCATCCTGCACAATCAGGGTAGTCTGAAATAAGCCAAACAACTTTCAGAATTATGCAAGAGTTTTTGGCTTAAGTTCATATTCAAATATTAAGTGCCTTATTTTCACATAGATGCTTGATCACATTATGTAGAGAATTTAATTTGATTTCCTCTTTGTAAAGAACTAATTCAACCTAAAAGTTTAAGCTATTGGGTGAGACTATATTAGAGATTTTATATTTATCTAACACGTTCCCTCATACCAGAATCCATTGGGTATGAAGAGTGAAAGATGCATTAGGCGCAATCTACCTGTGCTAAGAAACTCTACAATATTTAATTATTTTTATTAACAAAACGAGGGCGGCGACGATCGAACTCGCGACTATTTAGGTACATTGGCTCTAATATTACGTAAATAATTAATTAAACCCAAAAGCTTAAGCTGTTTGATGAAGCTATATTAATAGTTTTATATTTCCCTCACTCTTATTGAACAACAAGTAACTTACAGGACAGTTTCGCAGAAGACCACAAAATGTTGATCTGGTGAGACAGCAACTCCATTGGGAAAGTAGAGGTCGCGGGCAAGTAGGGTTGTCTTCTTTGTTGCTGGATTATAGCTCAAGAATCTACCATTTGGCTTGCATTTCCAAGATGTCTAAGAGGGCATCCTTCAAGGAGTATTTGTATGAAGCGTCTGTGAAATAAATTGTTGTAAATATTAGTTATTTATTTAATTATTATTATTTGTTGTATTGGGTCAAGCTCATTAAGTCAAGTATTAGGTCAAGAATTAGGTTTTTTATTCTCTATAAATAGAGACCTCTTTGTACAGATTATTTACATCATTCAATTATATATTTGAATTCCCTTTTTCAAGTTGGTATCAGAGCTCTCGATCTGAGGTCTCTGCTTCCGCGCCTATTTGCTTTTAGAGCAAAAACCCTGATCTATTTGCCTATTGCTGCTATCAGCCGCCACAGAAAAAAAAATTCGGGGACCTTTTGGACCAAGAGGACTACTGTTCACTGTTATTTTCTTCGATTACAGCCGCAAACATCGATTACACACTGTTGTTTTCAGCCGTAAAACCTCCAAACAGATCTATCATCGCGTCTGACCTCTTTCCGGTGACTTTTTCAACCGCGACCACCCACAGACAGGTGCGCGCTCGCCGGACGACCACAGTGCAAAAATTTCAGCCGGAGAAGGCAGCCCACGCGCTATCACGTGCCACCCAAACTCCAGCGCGTAAAGCTCACGCGTAGCCACTTCCACCGGCGCGTGGAGGCGCGTGCAGACTTATTTTGGCCGCGGACCACTGCCATTCTGATAGTCTCTTCATCCTCTTTCTGGATCTGTGATTTCCCCTCTGATCGGACGTCGTTTGGTATTTTTCCGTATTTTTTGGCTTCTTTCTTTGACTAGTTTTTTGCAGTATGGCCTCCGACACTGAGTCAACTGTTGCAAACAAAACTACAAACTCTTCTACACAGTCTGTGGTGACCCCTCTTGGTCACAATGATCTTCCTGCTCTTCATCAGAATTATCGTCTGAATAAAAAAAATTATTTACAATGGTCCCAGGTTGTTCGTACCATTCTCAAAGGACGCCGTAAAGGTTCTCATATTGAAGGACCTGTTCCTGCCAAAACAAATCCAACATTTGATGATTGGGATGGTGAAGACTCACTTATTATGACATGGCTATGGAACTCTATGACTCCTGAGGTTAGTCAACATTGCATGTTTTTACCTACTGCTCTTGAGATCTGAACGTTCTTAAGCAGACCTATTCAATGAAGCAAGATGCTGCCACTTGTTATGATCTGAGGAATTGGATTTTTTATACCAAACAAGGCTCTCTCTCTATAATAGAATATTATGGTATCATGAATAAGTTATGGACTGAGCTTGATCAGTACGAGAATTTGAAGATGGAATGTAGCAAGGATGTAGCCACTCTAACCACCTCCATTGAACACAATAGGATCTATGATTTTCTTTGTGGTCTCAACTCAGAATATGACCTATTCGAGTTCAAATTCTTGGTAAGGAAAAATTATCGTCTCTTTCTGAAGTTTTTCACATTGTCAGGGGTGAAGAAAGTTGTAGGGCTGTCATGATGGATACCAAAGTGTCTGAAGGGTCCATTATGCTCTCATCTAAAGTTACTACTCCATATTACAAAAAAAAAAAAAAAAAAAAAGTTACTACTTCAACTCCTTCTGATTCTAATCCCACTTATGGGTCTGCTATGATTTCAACAAAAGGGATGGTTCTTCTCAAAGGAGTTCCTTTAAAAAATTTTCTGATGGTGCATCTTCTAGACCTAAGAAAGATGATTGCTGGTGTTCTTATTGTAAAAGAACGGGTCATATCAAAGATCTATGCTTTCGCCTCCATGGAAAGCAAACGGTCTTAGAAAAGATGGCAAGGATGTGTGGTCAAACGCATTTTACTTCCTCTGAAATAGCTCCTGCACCTAATGAGACCCAACCTGCATTCTGTCAAGATGAGTTGGAACAGCTCTGAACCATCCTTGATTCTCTGAGTAAGCCATCTGATACTAATGCTTTGGCTATGACTGGTATAAGCTCCAAAACTTATTCTTTTCTTTCTTCATGTATTGATTTTAAACATTCTTGGGTTGTTGATTCTGGTGCTACTGATCATATGACTTGTTGTGCTGACCCCTTTACTTCTTATCATCCTACCATTGGCACTCATACAATAGCCATAGCTGATGGCTCACATACATCAGTTGCGGGTTCTGGTAACATAAACTTACAGCAGTCCTTACATCTTAAAGATGCTCTTCATGTTCGTAAACTCTCCACGAATCTTCTCTCTATTCATAAAATTACAAAAGATTTAAATTGTACTGTAACCTTCTTCCGTACTCACAGCGTTTTTTAGGATCTCGCCATGAGGAAGATGATTGGTAATGCTAAAGAGCAAGGTGGGTTGTACTATCTGGTGTCACAATCTCCCGCCAATAAAGTAACAGATCACATCTTGCTGTCTCATGGTCAATCAACTGCTGATTCTTTGATTTGGCTTCATCATAAGCGCTTGGGACATCCTCCATTTAGTTTACTCAAGTCTTTATTTTCGTCATTGTTTTTGTCTAAGTCTGTTGAGTCTTTTCATTGTGATGTTTGTGAGTTTGCTAAGCATCATCGTGTGTCTTTTCCTTCTAGTATTACTAAAAGTGTTGACCATTTTGATCTTATTCATTCTGATGTTTGGGGTCAATCTAAGGTCCCTAATTCTTCTGGAAATAAATGGTTTGTTTCTTTTATTGATGATTGCACTCATGTAACTTGGGTTTACTTAATGCGTGAAAAGTCTGAGGTATCACAACTATTTTTCAATTTTATAAAATGGTTGAGACCCAATTTGGTAAAAAAATCAAGCGACTAAGGACTGATAATGGTACTGAATATGTTAATCACTATTTTTCCCAATCTATACGAAATAACGGTATGATTCATGAACTTGTGTTGACACCCCTCAACAAAATGAGGTTGCTGAAAGAAAGAATCGTCACCTTCTTGAAGTGGCTCGTGCATTAATGTTTCAGACACATGTCCCCAAATACTATTGGGGAGATGCCATTCTTACTGCAACATTCTTGATCAACCGTTTACCCACTCGGGTACTTGACCATGTAAGTCCTATTCACTCTATAACTTCTTTTTTCCCTTCTATGCCAACTATGAATCTTCATCCACGAGTGTTTGAGTGTGTTGCTTTTGTTCATGTTCATAAACATCATCGTAGTAAGTTGGATCCTAGGGCTCTTAAATGTGTCTTCCTTGGTTATGCTCATGATAAGAAGGGCTACAAGTGCTATCACCCTGGTAGTCGAATTTTTTTTTCTATGAATGTTACATTTCAGGAATCTGAGTCCTTTTTCCAAGGTCCTCATCTTCAAGGGGAGAATAATTCACCAAAAAACTCATCACCTTCCTTCTTTGAGTCTGAATCTTCAGTGTCTACTCCTTTACCTGTGTCAATGTCTCCTCCTCTTGTTCCTGTTCCTTTCTGTGTCTATGTCTGATTCTTCTATAAGTGATCCTCCTGTGACTGATCCTCCTGCGACCGATACATCAAGTACACCAGAGATTCGTAAGATTGTGACACCTGAGTTGGTATATCAAAGAAGGAAACAACCCACATTGCCTCTGGAGCAACCGCAATCGTCTGAACCACTGGTAAGTCCTGAATCTCATATTTCTGGTCATGATGTTAATACTTCTGATGACTTACCCATTACTACTGATTCTGATGATTTACCCATTGCTCTAAGAA